ATCTATCTATCTATCTGTCTATCTATCTATCTATCTATCTATCTATCTATCTGTCTGTCTCTCTATCTATCTATCATCTGACTATTTCTTTCTTTCTATCTATCATCTGACTGTCTTTCTATCTATCTATCTATCTATCTATCATCTGACTATTTCTATCTATCTATCTATCTATCTATCTATCTATCTATCTATCTATCTATCTATCTATCTATCTATCTATCTATCTATCTATCTATCTATCTATCTATCTATCTATCTATCTATCTATCTATCTATCTATCTATCTATCTATCTATCTATCTATCTATCTATCTATCTATCTATCTATCTATCTATCTATCTATCTATCTATCTATCTATCTATCTATCTATCTATCTATCTATCTATCTATCTATCTATCTATCTATCTATCTATCTATCTATCTATCTATCTATCTATCTATCTATCTATCTATCTATCTATCTATCTATCTATCTATCTATCTATCTATCTATCTATCTATCTATCTATCTATCTATCTATCTATCTATCTATCTATCTATCTATCTATCTATCTATCTATCTATCTATCTATCTATCTATCTATCTATCTATCTATCTATCTATCTATCTATCTATCTATCTATCTATCTATCTATCTATCTATCTATCTATCTATCTATCTATCTATCTATCTATCTATCTATCTATCTATCTATCTATCTATCTATCTATCTATCTATCTATCTATCTATCTATCTATCTATCTATCTATCTATCTATCTATCTATCTATCTATCTATCTATCTATCTATCTATCTATCTATCTATCTATCTATCTATCTATCTATCTATCTATCTATCTATCTATCTATCTATCTATCTATCTATCTATCTATCTATCTATCTATCTATCTATCTATCTATCTATCTATCTATCTATCTATCTATCTATCTATCTATCTATCTATCTATCTATCTATCTATCTATCTATCTATCTATCTATCTATCTATCTATCTATCTATCTATCTATCTATCTATCTATCTATCTATCTATCTATCTATCTATCTATCTATCTATCTATCTATCTATCTATCTATCTATCTATCTATCTATCTATCTATCTATCTATCTATCTATCTATCTATCTATCTATCTATCTATCTATCTATCTATCTATCTATCTATCTATCTATCTATCTATCTATCTATCTATCTATCTATCTATCTATCTATCTATCTATCTATCTATCTATCTATCTATCTATCTATCTATCTATCTATCTATCTATCTATCTATCTATCTATCTATCTATCTATCTATCTATCTATCTATCTATCTATCTATCTATCTATCTATCTATCTATCTATCTATCTATCTATCTATCTATCTATCTATCTATCTATCTATCTATCTATCTATCTATCTATCTATCTATCTATCTATCTATCTATCTATCTATCTATCTATCTATCTATCTATCTATCTATCTATCTATCTATCTATCTATCTATCTATCTATCTATCTATCTATCTATCTATCTATCTATCTATCTATCTATCTATCTATCTATCTATCTATCTATCTATCTATCTATCTATCTATCTATCTATCTATCTATCTATCTATCTATCTATCTATCTATCTATCTATCTATCTATCTATCTATCTATCTATCTATCTATCTATCTATCTATCTATCTATCTATCTATCTATCTATCTATCTATCTATCTATCTATCTATCTATCTATCTATCTATCTATCTATCTATCTATCTATCTATCTATCTATCTATCTATCTATCTATCTATCTATCTATCTATCTATCTATCTATCTATCTATCTATCTATCTATCTATCTATCTATCTATCTATCTATCTATCTATCTATCTATCTATCTATCTATCTATCTATCTATCTGACTATTTCTATCTATCTATCTATCTATCTATCTATCATCTGACTCTTTCTTTCTTTCTTTCTTTTTAACTATCATCTGACTATTTATATCATATATCTATCTATCTATCTATCTATCTATCTGATTATATTTGACTATTTCTATCTATCTATCTATCTATCTATCTATCTATCTATCTATCTATCTATCTATCTATCTTCATACCAACACCCTAGGAACTATCCAAACCAACCTAGCAACCACCCCAAGCACCTTAGCAACCGCATAGCAACACCTTAGCAACCACCCTGGGTACCCTAGCAAATGCATAGCAACCAGCCTGAGTACCTTAGCAACCGCATAGCAAAACCTTAGCAACCTTATAGCAACACCCTAGCAACTGCCCCGGGTACCCTAGCAACCGCATAGTAACACCTTAGCAACCACCACAGGTACCCTAGCAACTGCATAGCAACACCCTAGCAACCATCCCGGGTACCCTAGCAACCGCATAGCAACACCCTAGCAACTGTACCGGGTACCCTAGCAACCGCATAGCAACACCATAGCAACTGCCCTGGGTACCCTAGCAACCACATACCAACAACTTAGCAACAGCCCCGGGTACCCTATCAGCCATATAGCAACACCCTAGCAACCATCCCGGGTACCCTAGCAACCACATAGCAACACCTTAGCAACCGCCCCCGGTACCCTAGCAACCGCATAGCAACACCTTAGCAACCGCCCCGGGTACCCTAGCAACAGCATAGTAACACCCTAGCAAACATCCCGGGTACCCTAGCAACCGCATAGCAACTATCTGTCTATCTATCTGTCTGTCTGTCTGTCTGTCTGTCTGTCTGTATGTATCTATCTATCATCTGACTATTTCTATCTATCTATCTATCTATCTATCTATCTATCTATCTATCTATCTATCTATCTATCCTCTGACAGACTGTATTGCCTTCAAAACTTTCAAACTTTTAAGCTTTTAAAACTACTTTAAACTTCAAACTATTTCAGACTGAAAAGCATCAAACTTAAAACTTTTTAATCTTTTCAAACTTTTTCAAACTTTCTGGTCCGGCTTTCTCAAGACAACTTAAAGTTTGTCTTGACAAACTTTTTTATCTAGTTATTATTATTATTATTATTATTATTATTATTATTAATATTGTTGTTGTTGTTGTTTACTTGCGTCTCTTGTTTTTGTTTGTTTTTTTTTTGTTCTCAGCAAATATTGATATTAATTGTGATTAATTAGATGAATTTGTAAGTAAAGCATTATAATTAAAATGCAATGCTTATTTAAACACTTTCTGGAGATTTGTAACATTTAATAATAATAATAATAATAATAATAATAATAATAAGCATTCATGGTCATTAATTGCATTTAAATTATCATCACTCTTTTATTTGCACTCAGTCTTGCGCATTCACCCAATATACATAGAGAGCTAACAGCAATATCAAAACAGACACAAATAATGACACTTTTGAAAAAAAAAAAACAACTTGGCATGCTTCCTCAGATTTGAAGGCAAACTTTTGCAGCCAAACATTTCCCGGGTGAAATTTATAACTGAAGCTGTAACGTGTGTGCTTGATGCAGGAAAACAAACAACATTGGTTCTTGCACATCAAGCATGCACGTTTAAGTTTCTGTTTACCATATTTAATGTGCTTAAGATGGAAGAAAATACAATTTAAAAAATAAAAAAGTAAAGAATAAAAAGTAATGTTTTTCCTTCAGAAATGTAATCAAGTAAAAGTACAAGTAGTCAGTTTAAAATGCACTTGAGTAAAGTACAAATCCCCTAAACTAATACTTAAGTGCATAAATCAAGTAAAATTACTTAAGTATTTTACACCCCAGAATAAAAGACAGAGGGAGTGTTCAGAGACCTGTATAAAATCAATCATTGTGTTTGAAATTTTGTTGACGCTAGTGCCGCAGAAATGATTTGATTCACTTTTAAGAGACACAATTTCAACTTGAAAGCTCTTGATTTATCTATTAATTATCAACATGTCAGACCTGACCATGATACCTTTGCCGTCACCACTTTTATGCCTAGTATAAATCTACAGTATATATTTTTTTTCAGTTAGCGCTCAGGCATGATGCCGGCGTGGAGTGTGGTGTTGTCTGTCAGCAGTATGACTGGCACTCTTTGGCCTCTTGCCTGGACATGTTCACTCACCCCAGCGCTGTTGAGGTGGCCAATGAGGGATGATTTATCGATGCCGTCCTTATGTATGCTGACCCATGCAGCGCAGGAACAGAAGCTAAAGCAGCAGGGCTGGAGCCCGCTGTGAAGCCATTTTCCAGCAATTAAACTGCACTGGTACTTCATGGCCATTGGCCACTGAAAGAGAAAAGTTACAGGGTATATGCAAAGGTGACATTAAGATGCTATTGAACTAATTTACTGAAATAAATCAAGAGAAAAAGCCTGATATGCTCAGATTCAAATCATGCACTCTAAGTATGAGCTATAGTACTAATACTTGCCTTTGCAAACACCACTTATAACACATTTCACAGCGGCCCAAACTATTGGAACTCTCTGCATACTACATTTTTTTTTTTTTCTATTTTATATTAATAGACTTGCTTACCAAAAGACCAGCAGGATATAAGCTCATTAAAGCCCCAAGGCCTGCCATGTATTGCCAATTTGTCAGACCATTGAACACTTTTCTCCCTTTCAGCCTTTCTTGGTCAGTTCATGCATTTTTCCGGGATCAATAATGATGACTAATCAGGTCATTAATACAGGCACAAGGTTCCTCCACATTTAGCTTGAACACAGCTGTAAGGGTTTTGTGTTCTTTAAAAAAGAGAGTAATATTCTGTTTAATTTCACTTCAGTATTGTAGGAAAATCCAGTTAAGGATTAATTATTTGAAAAAAAAAAGAAAAAAAAACATTGTTTATTCGATGCATTCTAAGGGGTGCAAAATACATACGACAGAAAGCATGAATCTTGCTTCACAACATTTTATGCTTTTTCAGGGAATCCAATTATTCAAATATGAAATCTATTTTTTATGAGCTGTTCAGAGTGAGAGACTGTCATGCAACTAGCAAACAGTATTAATAAAAGAGTTATTAAGTTCTGAAGCCTGGAAATTCAAATGGCAATAACAATTATTTTACCCATGAAATGCTTTGTCAACAAGACATTGTAGTAACGAAAATTTAGCAGGATTTTTCCTCTTCATAAAGAAAACATTACTACAAAACAGACATCTGTCTTTTGAAGACCTGTGGTTCATCATATTGTAATAGGACTATCCATGTGTTTAAAACTGGATAGTTAAATGTATGGTTTTATGGCTCTATAATCACAATGTGCACAATAATCAAATCATGTGTGTGGAAACTGAGTGTGAGCTAATAATATACGCGAGATGCCTTCATAATCGACAGTTTTCTTCATGACCATCTGTTGCCGGAAAGCTATTTGCACTTGTTATAGTAAAAGTCAGAATCTAACAAGCGATGGAGCGCTGTGGCTCTTTCCTATTTAATTATGCCCAATGACTGTCATAGCCTCTAATGTACGGACAGGCTGAATACACAGAACAGATGGCTCCATATAACTAAGGTTGACTTTGTGTATGTAGACCCCTATTAAGCAAATCAAGAGTTGGGATGAAATCGAGGATAGATTAAGCTTGGACCTCCTTTGTCAGTTTGCAATAGAAGAGTAACAGTTTTTATAAGACTCTATATCGCTAAAGAGTCTGCTTTATTCTTACAGACACAAAACTTGATCTTAAATTCAACAAAAGAGCTTCCTTGCTAAGTGAAGATATATTATGTCATAGTGCCGAAAGACTGAAGAGACTCAGAACTGGGAGTTTAAATCTAGTATTTGAATATTGTTTATACATATTTCTATCATGAAAACTCTCTGAATAGTTTAGCATGGTGATGGCTATGACGTTGTTTGTCTTGACGCAATAGATCTGCTATGGCAGTGTTTCTCCAACCTGTCCTGGGGACCCCCACTACTGTACATTTTGGATGCCTCCCTCATCTGACACACCTGATTCAACTCATCAGCTCATTAGTAGAGACGGCAAGATTAAGAATTGGGTGTGACCGATGAGGGAGACATCCAAAATGTGCAGTGATGGGGGGTCCGCAGAACAGGTTTGAGAAGCACTGCTGCTATGATGCTGCTGCTGTTATGGTGGCTGCTGTTGCTATTGCTGCTACAGAAGAAGTACAGAGACTTGCTGCTGCCATACATGCACAGATAAGCTGCTGCGGCCATGTAAGACATTCTGCAGATGCACAAATTGTCATACATGAAATGATCCATGGCAGATCTAAACAGGTGGAGCTGGGGGAGGTGGAGGGTTTCTGTAACACTTGCTGCAAGACACAAACTATTTAAATGTTATGCAGTAAGCCCATTGGCTGCAGATGCAACAGAGACCAATCAGTTTGTGCCATGTAATGATGATGTCATAACTATCAGTTTGCGCCATCTACAGTTTCATAACAGAACTAGATCTGTACTAGCCAAGTCTCATTTCGTAGGCTGCACCATTTGAAGGTCACATTTGTCAGCCTCTAATGTCGTCAAGGATGTCTCATTTCAGAAAAGTGACTAGTATTAAATTCACTTTTATTCCTTGTGAGGCATAATTTCTTTCTTACTTTGGAAGGTAATTGTTACTTTTCTGAAATGAGACAGGCACAATGACATTTGTGACAAATGCAACCTCTGGAAATGTGACACAGCCCATAGTTTATGAACATTTCAACTGTCATTTTAAATTTCTTTATTGGCTCAAAATAGCCTAGTTTTCTTCTCGCTGCGAATTCATAACTGAAGAATTCCCTTACGAAACTTAACCATGGTTTTACTACAAATAAAACTAAAAAACCATGTATTTGACCCAAAGTTGGGTTGAAACAACCCAGTATTTTTTAGAGTGTATAGTTAAACCATGGTAACCACAAATTAACCATGGTTTTGTTACACTGACCATTATTTAACCATGTTATTTGTAGTAAAACTGTGCTTATACAAATGGCAATCAACATCTTACTCTTACTATAATATCAGATGGCTAATTTTCACAAGGGAACTCGAAAAATTATATGTAGTGTTCATCTGTACTTGTCTCCAGGTGTTTCAGAAGGATATAAAAGAATAATTCTTATTTTAAACTGTGAATTACTTCTGTGTTTTGAAACATGCAGTGTTTTTATTGTAGAGTAACCTCTTATGTGTGTAAATATCAAAAACATTTTGACATTTAATTTTATGACCCCTTCAATAAAATAAAATGTTTATGTAAATGTATGTCCTGAATATGTTTAGTGTGTGTTGTACCCAACAACAGCCTTTAGCTATGACAATAATCACAATATAATCACAAGACAATTGTATTTTTTTTTTTTTTTACTACTGACATGTCTTGTAAAAATAAGGACATATGTAATAAAAGGACATGAAGTGTTTTCTGGGACCACCACCATGGCTTTCTGGTCCATTATAAAGAGGTCTGTTCTAATCTTTTATTAATAAATGTTGAAAAGCATGTCTTTTGATGGTCTCCTCTTCATCATAACTGGCACATACACAGCTTTCCTTTTATCTATTAATAACAGCTAGAATGGGATGCCACTCAACAAAGGTTACTTCATTATATTGTTCCATGGTCTTTTCTGAATCATTCCCAATGCACATACTATAGTGAATCCTTTCACTGTACTTAACTGACCTGTGCAGAGGGTTTTACTAAAGTGTTTCATAATTGTGTGGTGGTAATGAATTTTTCAGATTTCTTCTTTTATTCATCAAATTGTGGCCACAGGACATTACTGACGTTTTATGCATTTGACACTTTGATAAGGACATTTCATGTTCCTTCATGTTTCGCTGTGTTGACTGTGCCTCTCTGGAATGCTTAAGTCTGTTGCTGCATTGCTCTTTCTGGGATGATTGTTGTCTCAGGGTGAGGTACAAGTAGCGGTGAGCGATCTGCACAGTGCTGATAACGAACAAATGCAGCACACGTTCAAAACATGCTCAATCTTATTATTTTTTCACAACAGTCAATTTGTCCCAGTTCCTTCATACACGTCTCTGTGTTTAGCTGCTGTGCTGTAGATATAGTGACACACTTAAGCCACACTTAAAATGTATACATGTCATTGCATTAGATAATGAAATTTCACTTTAGTGGAATATGTTCATTGTTGTTACGATGATCTACTCCGCTAGGACACCTGTGTGAACTTGAGGCTCACTGAGGTCCTAATCGTCATGGAAACTCAAAAGTGACTTATATGGAGCACTTTACATAGTCATACAACTTAGTGTGCCACAGAAATAGCACTCTTGCATGTTATATGAAATGAAACAAAGGTAACAATCAACTAAATTATCATTTTGAGCAGGTCATCCTGACATCACTAGACAACAAGTAAATAAATGTGACAATAAAACAGCAAACAGTTAAACAATGTCACCATGTGAATCATTCATGCTCCTGTACACACTGAGAAAAGGACAAATGCTACTGGAGGTTTTTGTTTTGTTTTGTTTTTCCCCGGTGTAGGTCTATTTGAACTAAAACAAATGCATCAATCCAACTCACCCGCTGTGCTTGCTGGTTCAGGAAAACAAAAAAACAAAAAAAAGCTCAGAATATATCATAATATAAAAGGCTGCAGTTCTTGAAGCTTTGCACGACTGGGTAAAAAGCACATACTACATTTTTTTTTTTTTTTTTAATCATTTTGTTTGATCTAAGAATTATTTTTACTGTGACAACAGCCTTATAACTTTGATTGATTCTTGACTTTGAAACAAATTATGCATTTATGTTTAATAAAATATGATAATATCTCTACATGCTTTTAGAATACATTTACAAAATTGAATTAATCTTTTTTCAACTGTTAATTACATTTAAATTAAGATACATAAGACACAGGGTTAAAAAGGAACACTTTATTCTTTGTTTAATTTCTTTTCTTGTTATGTTTGCTGTTTTACCTCAGAACTGCTTTTTCTCAAAGGACCAACTTGTCTTTAATAGTTCAGTGAAGGGCAGTGGAGCATGCCATCGCTCCCGGAGGTGCATTGTCTATTAATAGGTTTATGGCACATCAAGCACCCTTCCCCCCATTTCCACCAGTCCACATGCCTCAATGCAGCAGCACTCAGCCTCCAATACTGGAAATACTTACAAAGTGTCTCCTGCTGTACCGCGCCCGGGGGGTTCTTTCCCCAACGAAACAGGAATACAAGGTTTAGTGTCTGTGACAGTTAAAGGAAGCTGCCTTTTAAATTATTATTTAAGGTTATGATTAACAGAATGAGATGCTACAGTGTTTTCAGGAATTGCTAGATCAACTGGCTGCAGAGAAAACAGAGAAATCGAATTATTTGGTAATATATTCACAGACGGTTAAAAATATATATCTCACAATGATGAAAGTAGGGGCGATTCATTAAACACGTGATATTTCAATCTCATTCACTAACCACCTGCAAATTTAAAATTCACACTGAATGTTTAAATAAAGTTCTAAACTGTTTTTTTTTTTAAGTTGTAATCATGACTCCTCTCCATTCTATTCAAGTTCACAAGAAAAAAAAAAAAAAAAACATAGATTCAGGTGTTTGTACTGCAGTGTTGGAGAGATGGTGTTCCGTTCCTGGACCCTTCACTCAGAACCGATCGGCGAGTTTGGGAATTGCACCATGGAAATTGTGTCGTTGATCAGATTCTGTGGCCACGTTTAATGAATCAGACACTAAAGCAACAGAGACAGCCCATTTCAATGAATAACTCTATCAGCAGGTCCAATTCATTCTTACAGATTTACCCCTAGACCTAATTTACTAAAATCTCAAATAAATTTGCTTGTGAAATCTGAAAAATTGCAAGTGCCCTTTGTGGGCCAGATGACTTGTGACTGTGTTTGCATGTGATAACTGC